CTGCAACTTCATGTGACTGCCTTACAGTAATCAGTTAAGGCCACCTGCCTAATATCTGTGAAGATTTTCAGTTGTCCAAGTGAGGTTATCTGGAAGTTGAATCATGGCAACTGGAGTTCTTCCTTATTAGGTTGAAACGTGTTGCTACTCATACAAGTTGCTTCTTCAAAACTGAGGAGAGGTAGTTTGAGAGAGAGCTCAGGGAGGCCATACATGTGCATATAGAAAATCCCTCACTCGAGGGATGGAGGGTTTAGATATAATTGGTCTCCTATTTATCATGCTGCCCTTATTCAGCTTATTCAGACCAGCATTGAAACCAACATGGAGGATATATCAGGGATCTCCCACCAACTTTCCCCAGACTGAAAAAGCTACTTCAGGAGTAGTGAAATGTTTCAGCCTAATAAGGAAGAAGTCCAGTTGCCATGAGTCAACTTCCAGACACCAGCCTAATATAATGCAGTTAGATCAGTCCTGGAGCATCTAGGCATGGACTGCACAAAACCTCAGAATTTGTCATGTCGTATTCGGCACCAAGACATTAACAGCAGATCCTTTAAGTCTTGCAGGTTTCCAGGTGGGCCCCCCATGGATAGGATTTGATGTTCTAGCACATCCCTTAGATGCTCAATTGGATTGAGATTTGGGGAATTTGAACTTGTTGACATGTTCCTCAAACTATTCCTGAACAATTTTTGTGGTGTGGCAGGGTGCATTATCCTGCTGAAAGGCCATTGACATCAGGGAACACCATGCCATGAAGAGGTGTATGTGGTCTGTAAAAATCTTTAGGTAGGTAGCATGAGCAAAATTTAGCTGTGATTTCCAGTGACATTCTTTGCTAACTCTGTCTGCAGATTTTTTTTTATTTCAAAAGGCAGAGGGACAGCTTTTGGAAAACATACAACATTTCTTCCTCAGCTTGCCTAAGTCAATGAAAGGGATTAGAAATTGGAGCATAGCTTTCTAGTCTGCATTTGGTGGAGTGGGCTTGGCAACATTAGTTTGGCCGATAGGTTAAATGTGTCCGGTTCTCCATTATATGTGTTTTATGTCCTCAGACATTTGCTTCACCATTTCATTAAGTTCAAAACAGCTCTTCAAAATATTTTGACACAGAGGGACTACAGTCATATCCTCACTTCTGTCTCCTCACAATATAGTACAAATCATAAGCTCATCTTGCGGAATCCTCTATCACTGGGTAATTCTATATGAGGGAAATTTCTGATTGGCTTTGTGGGTAGCATATGTATATTTAAACTCCAGAAAATTCAGCTCTTCAAAAATCCTCCAGTTTATGAATGTGGAATATTGTGCTTCTGTATGCTTGATTCCAAAAAGTCAGGAAATGGATCAGCACTGCAGCACAACATTGTCCCCACATTGCTAGCAGGAAAAAGGATGGTAAGCTTTACATAGTAAAGGATAGCCTGAATGTTAAAAACAGCTATGGTAGCGGTCAAGATGGTCAACAGAATAACTTTTTCTGCTCACTGCATACACACTTATTGAAAAACAGGCATCTCAGTTACTTTATGTTTGGGTGAGAAGTGGTTAACTGATGAAAAAAAGGAGCCAGCTTCTGGGATTTTCCCATGTGTGGTCTCTCTATCTCAATGGTAGAGATCAGAAAAGGGTATCTTGTAGACCATTTTGACTGCTGCCCTTGGTGTCTAGCAACACAGATACTTCTTCTTCCTAACCACACCTTCCCAACTCTTTCCTGCATTTTCCATAGGCTAATAGACTTCTTTCCTCTCACATCCCAGTGTCCTTAGCAGCAACTGTCTCCACACAGGAGATGACTCAGGTCAAGAATGCAAGTTGCTAGGAAGGAACCATGCCTAATTCCCATCTTGTCTCATGGTTCCAGAAATTGATGTCCTTCCTCTTTCTTTCTAGTCCATCACTTCTTACTCTCTTGCTGTTTCCCTCTTCATCCACGCCTTGCTTTTTCTTTTTCCTCAATCAACCAAATCAATAGACTGTGCCAGAACAGGATCTTGTTGAAAGATTTTATTCATTTTCTGCATTTACACTGTCATAACAGGAGAAAGTCACAGAAAAATCAATTCCTGGTTTCCATTTAATCAGAAAGCAAGCAAGCAAGGGTGTATTGGCGTATTGGGCCTTTGACTCCAACATTCTCCCATTGCTCAGCTAGAGGAGGAAAAGAAAACCAAGCATTATTTTTAGCCCCAAGTATGAACCTCAGTGTTGATCAACCAAGGAAATCTTTTAGAGAACATATGCAGCATGTAAACTGCTAAACCATGATTCTTCTCTTCCTTAAGAAATTTAGGGAGCTAAGTTTAAGGATAAATGAGTAGGAAAAAACTCACAGTGGAAGTGTGAGTGAGGAAGGTTAGTACTCAGGGGCTATATTGCAGTACCAAAAGTTCCTTCAGTATTTGTTTTGCATAGTCCCTTCTACAGTTGTAGACAAAATTCTGGGCATTGGTTTGAGAGAGACTTTGTTGCCCACTACATGCAAAATATTTTGGCTGAAACTTTGTTAGTGTTTGCCTATGGTTTGTGTAACATTGCCAAGGCCAACTGTGGCTAGTTAATAAGATGCCCAAGGCTGAACAATCAGGGCAGGACACAACCAGGATGCACACCAGCACCTCAACAATTAGCCATAATTAGCTCTGGCAAGTTAGGCAGACCTCATATGAACGTGAATAAGGTTCTGGGCATTAATTTTCTTGCAGTGTCACGTCTCATCCAATGAGTCTGCACATTTTTGAAATCGCCATCAGTATCCCTGAAGATCTTGAAGACGAAATTAGATTGGATATAGCACACTCGGCAAACAGTGACCTTCCTTCAAGCTATGTTAGAACGACTGGGGGAAATATGTAGCACAGTTCTCTAGCCGATAAACATTTGTGTCCCAGAAGGGAGACAGTTTAAGTGGCTTGTGAGTGCTTTGGGACTAATGTATTCATATGTTGCATCTTTATTGTGCTAATATAGCTGGTTGTAAATGTGAACCAGTCTTCTAGAAATATTAGGACCTTCAACAGAGGCATTTCAAAAAAGGTACAAGGAAACCCATGATTCCCTACTTGTTGAAAATACAAAAAGGATCATAGTGAACATGGGGGAAAATAATTTACAGACTTGTAAATTTTGCAAAATAGTGCAACATAGACAACAAAAGAGCAATGAGCTCTTCCATGCGGTGGTACCTTCGCAATAGTTGGCTATGGACGACATCCAGAGTTTCAAGTGTCAAATCAAAAATCAGTTTGTTTACTCTAATTAATTTTAGGAATCTGTTATAATTAATTTGTTACATCATTCATCTTTAACACATCAGTAACATACTAGTTTAAACTAAAAAAACTAATTTAAATTCATTTAAAGTTATTACTGAAAATTACTAAATATTTTCCCCAGAATAAACCTTAGAGGAACAAATTAAAATAATCTGAAACATCTGTTCAACCCATTAATCTTGTTGCTAGATATTGAATAGACTAGTAGCCTTTAAAATTGTGTTGTTTTTTTTTAACATAGGGAATTGTTGCCAAATTTTCACTGATTTATTGCTTCTTTTTTCAGTATTGATAGTCTAAAACCACTAAAAACTTTTTACAGAAAGCATACTTCCACACTGGCTCACCTGAAATGCTTAGTGCTCTCCAAGGGCAGTTTTAATCCGTTCAATCATTTTTGGAATCTAAAAGAAAAGACATGTAATATTAGCTTTATTTGTTCAGACTCTCCCTCTGATCACCATCTGGTTGTATAAAAGTAACTTTGCTAATTCTTGTATTTTTAATTATGTAGATTACTATTTTATTTTCACATATCTAGGGAATTTTTGCCCCCCCCCCCAGAAGACTACACACCAACACCAACACCAACACCAACACCAACAATAAACCCTCTTGCAACTCAACTTTAATTTTTGGGCCAATTTTGAGATTTTCTTCAAAATTACCCAATTCATCTATTCGTGAAGGCTTTCACAGCCAGGATCTAATGGCTGTTTGGGTTTTTCTAGGTCTTTGGTGTTCTGAAGGTTGTTCTTCTTGACGTTTCACCAGTCTCTGTGGTCGGCCTCTTCAGAGGACTGGAGTAGGAACTCAGAGCATGGACAGAGTTCCTACTCCAGTCCTCTGAAGATGCCGGCCACAGAGACTGACGAAACGGCAGGAAGATCAACCTTCAGAACACGGCCAAAGAGCCTTAAAAAAGCCACAACAACCATTACCTAATTCATGTTTCACAAGTTTTACTGCAGCCAACATGTAGCTTGTCTCTTAAGATTTGTGTGTTTCTGAGGTTTGTGGTATGTTTTGGAGAAATAAAATATGCATGAAATCCTGGACATATTTTAAAAATTAGCAAGCCTTTTGATGCAGTGGTTACACTGCAGTCCTGCAGTCAAAACTCTGCTCATGACATGAGTGCAATCTTGATGGGTTCAGGTAGCCAGCTGAGCCTTCCATCCTTATGAGGAGGGTAAAATGAGCAATCAGCTCGCCGAGGGGCAGTGTTCCTCACTTAATTATGTTGCAAACAACCCAGAGCATCATCATCATCATCATCATCATCATCATCATCATCATCATCATCATCATCATCATCATCATCATCATCATCATCAACTAATTTTACAATTGAAATGCACACATAAATACACTGTTGTCTATGAGGGAAATGTGAAATGTTAGAAAAAGTGTATTAAAATGTGCCCATTATGGGAAATGCGTATGCAAAGTGCAGGTAAACATTCATTTGGGAAAGGAAAACATAAGGTTGTAACTTGATACAGACAAAAGATGGGAGTGAATGTAGGTGGGACTCAGAGAATACACATGTTTAGAAACATAGGCACAAGAAACCCTAAAATCTGTCCTTAAGTAAATGGTTAAGGAGCCTGCTAAACCCCTGTCTGTAGCCATAGAAAACTTCCATTTCCAGAAATAAGGTAACAGATATTTATATTTTATAAAAGTTTACCTCTGTGTTAAAGCATTCTTCTTTAGTTTCTACGCTGCAACAGTTTGTCACCACACCGGTGAAGTCCACAATAGTAGTTGCCAGTTGCTCATCTGTGATGTCAGGTTTATGTTGCATCATGTGGGCAAGCACACTGCAATGAGAACAATGGTTAGCCAGAGGATAAGTCAAAGGACATCTTTCTCTTTTGATTGAACGCCCAGGGCATCCTATCCTTATTGACTTCTGCAGGGTGAAGATCCCGTACTGTCAGTAATTTCACACTATTAGGCCATTCAGTTCAGTACCGCTCCTAGTGAATGAAACCCTCAACTTTAGGAGGAAAAGAGAGGGAACTCAAGACAGCAATGTGTAAGCTGTTAGCAAGAAGTGTGTTGAAAAAGATCCTGCCAGTGGGGCTTATCCACTAATAAAGAAATGGATAGCTAAGGGAAAACATGGGGCTGAAATAATCTAGGAGGGACTGTGGCCAAGTAGACACACTAATTTTATTATTATTATTTTGACTTGGACACCATGTTTTTAGATTTGGGTCTATAAATAGTGGCAGTCATGGAAATAAATCTAGGTTCCACTTTTTCTTTCATCATAGCAGAGCTGAACATATATTTCGATGAAGAACATGGTTAGATGCCTGCCTGGAATCTCTGGGGGCTCAAGAGGCCAAAGAAATTCAGCTGGTCATCTCAGGCAGTTGATCAGGGAACCTTAAAATGCAAGTGGTGCCAGCAAGAAAGGGCATCAGGCTATGTTTCTCTCTCTCTCTCCCAAGAACTGCCATAAAAGGTAGGTACCCAAGCATTGAAGCCAACATGCAGAATAAAAGCAGCCTCTGTCTTCCTCTAGTACTAACTGGCCTAAGCTTTGCCTCCCCACTTGGACAACCAGAGAGACACAGTCTGAGGTCTGATTGGGCACAGTAGGGATGACATCATCAGTAAACTGTCTTTAATCAGTGGCCGTTTGGCTTTAATCAACAATGACTTGCCACTATTGATGACATCATCCCCGTTGCGCATGCAGAGTGTGCAACAGGATTTCAGCCATTGACCTTTTGTGGTGTGTCAGACAATGCCGTGACACCTGGCAAACATAGTGAGTAAAACTTATGTATGTGTAACCAGAACAGGTACATGTGATGGAGAACTGGAGACATGAGGTGAAATAAATGGCCCGCTCTTGGGTCAATAGGTTTCTTACGTTTGTTTCTTTTCCTGTTGCTCTTCTGGTTTTGCTGTGCAATAATCGGCATGGAAGTGGACTATTTCAGTATTAAATGGTATAGGAACATAGTCTGGATCTACTCCCAATCCAGCGAAGCATTCCCGACGTTTAGTAAAGCTATCACTACAGCATTTGCACACTTGCTTGTTGATGGGATGTTCCTCATGCAGATGACAAAGATATCCTAGGCCTAGATCCACCTAGACACACAGAGTGAGTGAACATGAGTGCACAATTGAGCAGAAGGATGATGAAAAACGTTCTCCTGTTAATTGCAAAACGTTTCAAGGGGCATTGAATTCAAATGGCTGATCCATTGCGATTTGACTAATTCGGTAATCAGTGATTAATTTATTTGAGCCACAGTATTCTAAAAACATAATGCCAATGGCATAAAAATATAGGACATAGAGCACGGACAAGTAATGGTTTGAAATCAAAATGATCCTAATGAAGAAATTTAATAGAACAGCACTGGGCAATTACAAAATAAATTTTATACTGAGGAAACTTGGACAGCAAATATCTTAATAGTAACTACTCGGACACTTGGTGCAGCTGCTTGGTCTACTCTGGGGATCGGCTGTTTTGTTTCTTTTGCTAGCAACCAAACAATGCAAGTGCCAGCATGAACCAGCGCTTGTTCAGAGCATTCCTATGCACACTCTTCTGGCTCTTTGTCGGAGGCTACTGTTTTTTAGCTGCAGGTAGGATGGCTCTGTTCTGGTTCATTTCTAGCATATGTGGCCACTGGGATTAAACCACTGTGCACCTTGCAGCATTAAATTTTCCATCAAGCTTCAATTTCCCAAGCTTAGTTACTAATAATATTGGGAAAACAAGAAGTTCAGGAGCAAAGGGAGGAAGCAAAGGCGGGTTTTAGGGCAGCACTGAGGCACTGTAATATTTAGCTTTTTTTTAAAAAAATAACCAAACATTAAAGCTTCATCTCAGAAATAGAAGCTAAAGAGGGAGATTTTTATTGTTATTTTCTTTCTTTTCTTAAGGGCGCCGAGCCAAATCGGGTCTCTTGAGGAGCATGAGTGGACGCAAAGATTGCACCATGTGGGATACTGGACCTCTATATCATTGGTTCTTAATCTTGGGTTACTCAGGTGTTTTTGGACTGCAACTCCCAGAAGCCTTCACCACCAGCTGTGCTGGCTGGGGTTTCTGGGAGTTGCAGTTCAAAAACACCTGAGCAACCCAAGATTAAGAACCACTGCTCTATATGACTATTGAGCCTGATCCACTCCAGTCCAAATGAATCATGTAGTCAAGCCTTCAGGTGTCTTATCTTTAGATGAGGGCAACCAAGCCAGGATGTACTCAAAGATCTAGTACTGTACATAGTTTGGTGTGACTTACAGCTGAAGTCCTCGTTTTTCTGTCACACAGTTTTTCCCCTTAGTAGGTCTGCTTTCCTTTTGTTTGGTAAAGCCTGATCTGACCACTGTCATGTCTATGTTGGCTCTCTCCAGCTAGGATGGTTGTAGCGCATTCTCTCTGCAGGGAGACTTTATCCGCCCATGACCTGTTGGCTCTCTCCAGCTAGGATGGTTGTAGCACATTCTCTCTGCAGGGAGGCCTTATTGGGGTCTCCGCCCATGACCTAGAAGTTAGTGTACCTCTCCCTAGCCTCATTTTCTATTCTGGTTTAAATTCAGAGTGGTTCTCATTGCATTTACAGTCTCAACTGATATAAGGCCAGAGTATTGAACAGAAGAGAAATATGGCTAAGAGTAGGAAAGTATTAAAAGCTAATGTTCAGGAGAAAATACTCACATGGTTTTCAGCACATGCCAGTCTGTGAGCATCGTCCAGATGGCAGCATTCCTCAGCAACGCCAACCATTTTCTTCGAGAACGTCCGGAGTTGGTCTGTGGATAGTTGGGGTGCCTTTCTGCCATAACGGACAATAAGCCTGCAGAAACAACAGCAGTGGTCCAGTAGATACTAGTCAGAGATATAAAATAGTTCCTGGGTAAGGCCAGTTTCCAATGGATTCTAAGGATGAGGGACGAGTCTTTAGGAACCAAGGGATTTGCTCAATGTGGTTTAGAAAAACTGAGTCCCTGTTCAGATTTGTGCAAATGGGGGTACGGGTGAGGCCTTCAAAGCTTCAATTTAAGAAATTTTCTTGCCTCTGCCTATTCAGATACGTGCTTCTGTTAGTACCCAGAGTTTTTGACACATCTTAAGTGATGTTGGAGAAATACTTGAGAAATGAATAGATTTTATATTTTCCCTGTACCCAAAACAGCCACTGCTGTGTTTCTTCAACACTTTTTCACAAGTTTCTTTAGGAAATCCTAAAATGTTTTTGCCCCGTGAATAGATAGAAAAAACTGTAGTGTTCTTTTCCCATGTATTTTTCTATGGAGAACTGAAATTCTCCAGTATTTCATGAGGAACTACAAAAATAATATTTACATAAAATTGTCAGACAACAGTTTTCTTTCTTTAATTGAGAATAACAATTTGGGAAAAGTCTGCATGTATTAATTACTTTGGAACTCCCCCTTCCCTCCCGCCCTGCATTTTTTTATCCAATAAACCAACACAGCTACCCAAGATATATTTGGATAATTTATTTTTGCTCTACCCATTACACAAATAACATACTCATTCCCGAAGAGGTGGGATCCAATCTGCTTATACTGGTCACAGTTTGCTTTTACTGTCGCCAGAGAGTCGGCAATATATTTTTTTAGTAGTGTTTCCTGCAAGAAAACAGAATTACTCTCAATGGCCTGCAACAAAAATGAGCACAACTACAGTAAGTAAAACACATTGGATGTGGTCTGGGCTATCATGGAATGAGCCCCCTCCTCCATTTTGATTCTGAGCCACTTGTGAATTTCACCTATTTCAAACTTGTGTATATTTTTGAGAAAGATATTGGTTACTCATAGAAATACCTATTCCACCCATCCCATTTGAAACAGAATGGAGCATGTGGATCTTCCTTCTAATCAATGCATTTTATAATAGCGATTAGCAGGAGGATACATCTAAACTAGTATGCTAGGTCAAGCTCAAGGAATGCTTCACTCATACAGGCTCCATATCTCTACCTCAGTGGACAGATCTACTATCTAGAGCTACTACTCTGCCACTGGTGAGCCTCCAAATTAAAGAGCTTTTGAAAGCTGAATTAAGCACACTGTATCATGCCATCCTGCTTTTATTGCTATAGCCAAGGGATAACTGAATTCCCACTAACACATTTGTCTTGGACATTTAACTGAGGGTCTTCATTTAGAAAAAAAAAGTCCTATATGTTTTGTTAGTTTTATGCCACCTAGAATGCTCTGCAGCTGTCCATACTGGGAAAAGAGAGAAATAAGGCACATCTGATCATGGCACATTTGACTGGCTTGAAAAATATGAGTTGGTAGAGTATTGAATACATTTTCTTCCCTGACTATTCATGGCCATGAGTGATCTCTATGGAATACGTATCTTGAAACAGGATTGGGAAAAATGGCCCTTTTGATCATCTTCAAATTGAAGATTCCTATGAAGTTGGTGTTCGAAGAGAAGATAGTGCCTTGTATAGCAGGACCATCCTTGTTGTTGTTTCCTAGGTACATCCTGGTAGGTTTGGGAAAGACTGCTCTTGATCAGACTAGACAATACTGAGCTAGCTGAATTGCTGAAATGGATCACTCAAACTCATGGAAATATCAAATATGTGTGAACTATGAGTGATTATGCTGACAAGATTATATAGTTTTCTGTATATAAGAATGGAGATCATCGAGGAATGAATAGGCCTGTGTGGATATTATGGTGGATAAGTAATTTTTAAGAGGAAATGAGGAATGTTTATGATGAGACTTAGATGGATGGAAATGCAGATGAGGGTATTTACAAAATTTATTATAAATTTAGGATGTTTAGATACCTAATTAGATACACAAAATAGGGATGTGGAATATAACATGTGCGGATGCACACAGATATATTATTCCTGTAGTCAGAATTTATATAATAGATAAGCTGGTATGGGAAATACCTCCCAGCCTGTATGTTTTGTTAGTGTTATTGTTTTGTAGGTATTTCTGGTTTTGTTTTTTTTTGTAGTTACAGTATGTATGTTATAAAAATAATAAAATGTAAAAAGAAAAAAAAAGAAAAAAATTTGTGCAGTGCTTCATATCTCTCTAACGTTAACGTGCTGGATATTTTCCTTTCCTAGTCCTATATCACTATCAATCTGCCCATGAAAGTTGAAAGCAGGAACATGATGAGAACATGAGGATAGAAATCTTCTGACTTAGACATTGTTGGAATCCCACATATGCTTGCATTTTGGGAAGGCCAACATGTTTTGGTTTCGTACTTTTTAAGAAAAACCTCCTTCCTCACCAAAAGTGTTCATAAATGGTTTCACAATATTCAGAAAAGAACAAATAAGAATGCACACCACAATGACAGAAAATCACCACTGTGAGTAATCACAGCTTACCCCTTCTTGAAGGCATGTTACCGGATGCTCAGTTGCGCAGCATTTCTCCAGCATCTCCTCATACCCTTTGGCAAGTCTTAACAACATCACTGGAGCTAATTCATCATGTCTCCTAGAATACTCACACAAAAACCTGCAGCACAGGAAAGATTTCATCAACACATAGAAACTGCTATTACCTTATATGCAGCTAAATTTAAAGTGTTCAAATCTATCCAAGTATATTATGGACCCCAAAACTAGTTGTGATTTTCATCCCTCTAAAGGTTAGATGAACCAAGAACAGAAATTATAGGGAGATGTTCAACACTCATTTTCTTTAAGAATGGATGAAACTGCATTGCTAATTCTTCAGAAAGTTTGCCACTCAGCTGTTCAAATTTATTCCACATGACAGTCATCAAATCAACTGCCATTTAGCTAAATATAATGCTGATATGTTCTGCTCTGAGCCAAGACTAAATGATTTAATATAACTAATAAAACTATATTGTTGTTGAGGTTTTACTCCTAGCACACCTATATTTTACAGTTAGTGATATACCACAAAGCCCCTTCATCTCATTGGGACTTGTGGCTGAGTTAAAAGTATTGAAAGCAGAGCATACACCTCAGCCACAGCAGACACCTTATCTTGCTTGCCTCTACTTCTCTCCTCTTTCCTCTCCTCAGCATGTTCTGGAATTATATTATTAATTCAGAGTGGAATATGGAAATAACTGCCTCCTAATAGGCCTCCTTATAGACCTCTCTTGAAACTCCATCAAATCCTGCTTCATTTAGTGGTGGGAAAATCAAAATTCACGTGTTGCATGGTTGGCCACCTACAGCTCAAAACCTACAAATAGGAAAGATTAAGGATTATCTGAATGTTCTATTCCATACTTTGCCAGGTGAACACCTTTATTTTCAGCATAGTGTTGGCATACGGCTTGGTCATCGATAAACTCTCTGACTGTTGGAGACAGATCAGCAGGCTTGTCATCATTTTCTGCATGGGCAATGCATTCTCCTCGTTCCAATATGGGCCCTTCACAGCAGTGCTTCAGTTTGGAAGAAATGGTATCTTGGTGGCTACAAATGTGGTCTGCCAGCTTTTTCTGCAAGAAAAGGGGATCACAGTGATTGACAGGCCGTCACTATAACTGTAATGGGGAGAACCTGGAAGTTCCTTCACATGAAGATCAGTAACAGCAGTATTTTATCTTAGCAAAACATTTTGTCCTGCAGTGTCCATACAAGGATGGGGCATGTTCCACTTCTTAGTAGCAGATTCCAGGAAGTCTACCGGTATGTAAAGTCCTACTTTTAATCATGTGGGCTCTAAAACATACAGTAGATGTAAATCACCCAAGACCTGACATTCAAAGCATATTCTGAAGGCAGAAGCTTTCAACTCCACTGTACTTTGGAAGCTGTTTTGGTCTTAGATCAGTCTCTGTTGTCAGTAATGAACTGGATGAGGGTGGATAAACTGTGATTTAAATCAGACAACACAGAGGTCCTTCGAATCGAGCCAATTGAAAGACCAATCAAGGAATAAGGATCTCAGCCATAGATGAATGGGGTTACACTCCCTCTGTAAACACAAGTACAACTTGTGTGTGCTCCTGGATTTGTTTCTAAGCCTAGATGCCCAGATTTCAGTGGTGGCCAGGAGTGCCTTTACATAGTTAAAACTAGTGTGCTAGCTGTCCGCATTCTTGGAGAGGTCTGATCTGACGTGCCTTAGTTACATCTCAGCTGAATTATTATAACACACACTACGTGAGGCTGCCTTTGGAAAGTGTTTAGAAATGTCAGTGGATCTAAAATGATGTAGCCAGTTTGTTAACTGGGGCTATTGCAGAACGGCTCTGTTACATCAGTTCCAGTGGCTGCCAGTTCCTGAGCACAGTTCAAAGTATAAAGCCCTATATGGCTTGGGTCCAAGCTATCTCAAAGACCACATCTCCTTTATGAGCTTGCTCAAATGTTAAGATAATCAAAGGAAGCCTTTCTCTTGGTGCCACTACCCTTACAGGTGTGTTTGATGGGGTCACACGGGAGGGCTTCTCTGTTGCTGCCAGGCTGGCCCCATCTTTGCTCTCCTTCTGCAAGCAGGCAAAGGCTTTTCTCTTAAGGCAGGCTTTTCCTTTTTTTACTAGTTATATAAGAGGGTTTTTTTAAATGGGATGTTTTGTATTTTTGTTACTCTGAAACCTATTTTAGTAATGTTTTTATCTAACATTTTAAACATGTTTATTAAAAAAATTTTTAAATATTATTTTAGAAATATTTGCATGACTTACAGTGTTTAGCATTCAAATATTGTCTTTTTTTAATGATGCATGCAATGTTTATTTTTTAAAAAAATATTTTAAAATATTTGAATGACTTACTGCATTTAGCATTCAAATATTGTCTTTTTTAAATGATGCATGACACCTTAGGTCCTTTTTTAGGGGAAACATGAGGTAAATGTGTTTTAAATAAAGAAATATCTCTTCACACTAGCATGGCACTACCCTTACTTCCTCTTGTTTTTCTAAAATTAACTGGGATTGACTTTTTTAAAAAATGTTTATTTTATTGTTGAAAAACACCCAGGGTAGTGACAAGGCCATTAGATGGTACAGTATAATAAGAATAACAACAATAATAAAATATCTAGCCCCATTCATGCATTTGCAGATAGAAAAGCATTGGGTAACTACATGATTTGATTACATTTCTCTAGGAACATTGTCAGTTCATCAAGTGGCAAGCCATGACACTTGCCACAAAAATGCTCACACTCTACTATGCCTATTAACGCTACACAGAAAGTCCCATGAATTTAGATGAAGTTATTGACTAGTATTTTCCTCATATGGATTTCCTTATGGTATCAATGCTTAGTTGGCTGTAGGAGATGATAATAATATAATAATCTTAGAACTGCAGAGCTGGCAGGGATCAATGGATTATTGGGGGATTGAACTCCCAACCTATGGTTCTGCAACTAGATACTTAAATAAAAAGGGGACTTGTATTTTTAAAAAATACACTAATTCATTTCCAGTTTGTTGAAAAACGAATACAGTGGTGCCTCGCTTAACGATTGCTTCGTACAACGAAAAATTCACTTAACGATGGATTTTTTGGAGTGATCTTGTGCTTCACTTAACGATTTTCCCTATGGGCGATTTTCACTTAACGATTTTGGGACCATGCTTCACTTAACGATTACAGTTTTAGGTCCCCTTGTTTCGCTTAACGTTTTTTTTTACAGCCCCGTTTTTGCTATTTTTAAAATATTCTAAAATGTTTAAAAAATGTTTAAAATGCTTGGAATCGTTAGTGCACCTAATAAAACCTTCGTTAACTTAATTTGGCTTTGTTCTGAGTATTTTTGAATTTTTTGTGAATTTTTCCCCCCATTGAAATAGGCTTCAATGCATTTCAATGGGTTTCGCTTAACGTTTTTTCCTATGGGGATTTTCTCTTAAGGATGGTAATCCATTCCAATTGGAACGGATTATCCGGTTTTCAGTGCATCTCTATGGGAAATGGTGTTTCGCTTAACAATGTTTTCACATAGCGATATTTTTTTGGAACCAATTAAAATCGTTAAGCGAGGCACCACTTATAAGGTTAATCCATGTTTGATGGAAGGAGCAATTTTTCTCAGAGTTAGTATGTTGTGTTTTCAATGTAATTGAAATGAAATGTATAACTCTTACTCTATCAAGCATACAATCCAGGGTGTCACCTCTGCAGCATTCTTCATAGATGTGCCCAACTTTTTCAGAAAGATCCATAATTGTTTGAAAGTCAGCCTTTGGGAACTTTTGGCACATATGAGCAATTTTGCTGAAAAAAAAAATCGAGATAACAGGTTTGTTTCAGTACTCGCTCAGTTTCACACCTCAAATACATTGAATGTATCCCCAGTAGATGTGTTCCCCAAATAATCAGAAATATAATTATAATTATAAATTTCCAGCTCATGCCAGCTTTGTACATTTTCAAGATCACTCTTTCTTTCTGATTTCTGCATCAGTCTACACTTGCTTAAAGGAAACTAGATGCCATTCACATCTCATCATATACATTCTGAACACAGTTTCTCTAAATATATGCCATTTTCCCCTCACACAGTATATTTAGCTGCAATGATATAGCACATTGTGTAGGAATTGACTACTTACCCTGTATCCCCAAAAATAAGACCTAACTTGAAAATAAGCCCTAGTATGATTTTTCAGCGTGCTCATAATGTAAGGCCTACCCCAAAAATAAGCCCTAGTTGAGTGAAAGCCTACCCTCCAGCATTGTGCAGCAACCAGAAGATGACATGACTGTGTTTGAATAAATGTAGATTGTTGTACATGAAAAAAATAAAACATCCCCTGAAAATAATCCCTAATGCGTTTTTGGAGGAAAAATTAATATAAGACCCTGTCTTATTTTTGGGGAAACATGGTATCTTCTATAGTTGTGTTTCTAAACATGTATTTGTTTGAGAATGGAAATTTTGTTCATTTGCTAACTTACACTAAAAAAAAAATCTCAAATGGCCCGCTTTACATCCCTCTGCCTACTAAGTGAGATCCCTAATGAAGTGTGATAGAGGTATCTCAGCTGTCACACACACCTCGGAAAGTCTCTTCTCACAGAACCTCATTTAAAACAGTTTTCATTGCAAATGGAAGACAGCTTTGTATGGTTGAGTTCCTTCCAACTCTTGGCAAACCTGAGAAGGTTACCAAGGTATGTAAGATGATCAAGGAGTAGTTTTCCTCTGCCACACTCAGTGAGTTTCCAAGGCTGAGATAGGATCTGAATTCAGGTCTTCTGAGTACTCTTTTGACACTCATCAAATTGACTTTCACTGGATTCTGCCTCTCCTTATTTGAAATTCTTGACAAGAAAGGCATTATTTTCTAGTACAGTGGACCCTCGACTTACAGACGGCTCGACTTACAGACTTTTCAAGTTACAGACTTCTCTGGCTGCAAAATTTAGGTTCGACTTGCAGCCGGAGAATCGACCTACAGATCAGAAAAAACCAAAATGGAACAAAAACGGAACAAAAATGGCCGGTTACGGATTAATTGGTTTTCAATGTATTGTAGGTCAATAGAGACTCGACCTACAGACTTTTCGACCTGTAGCCACCGTTCCAATACGGATTAATTCCAAAAGTAGAGGATCCACTGTAGCATTCAACTATTCGACCAAATGCTTTGCCTATTTCCTCTCAATCAAAAGTTCCACACTAGTCTTTCTTCATAAATACTAATAACAACTACAACAGCACTATGATTACAGTGATAATAATGATAATGACTCCTACCTATTTAAAGAAATATATTTATTTATTTAACTTATATGCTGCCCACACTACCCAAAGGTCTCTGGGCTGCTTACAACAATTAAAATACAATAAAAAAGATAAAACAATTAAAATACAATTAAAATATATACTCTAAAAATTGTCATCAGGACCCACAGTTGATATTATTTCAATTAAAAGCCTTCTGGAACAGGAAGGTTTTGACCTGGCACCGAAATGTCATCAGCGTTAGCACCAGATGAATCTCAATTGGGATGGCGTTCCATAGTCTGGGGGCAGCTGCCAAAAAGGTCCTTTGTCTACAAGCCATCCCTCTTAACTCCTTGAAGGACTTCTCTTTCAAAAGCCCCCCCTGGCTAGATCTTAACTGCCAGGTAGAGTATATGAACTCAGAAGTGATGTCTGGTCAACTCCAGTGTTCAAAGTTGAGTGATAATGTGAACAAATTTCTATTTCTAAAAATATTTAGTCTATAAGGTGTTGATTGGCTTTAATACTTGACTTGTTGGAACAACAGTTTGATCTCTAAATACCTTTACGAGGTACATGTGTCTGCTTCTTGCACATTATTATCTAAACGGAAGATCTAGCTATGTGACAGTACATGTGTGCATAAAAAATACCAGGTGATTTGCTGCTCACACAATCCATGTGTTTTCAAAGAAGCTGCTACATTGCAGATGTAATGGGTTGGGAGATATGTATCAGTCTCAGTCCATAAGGACTGACATCTTGTTGTGCAGCTCCAACTGTACATGCAACTCATGTACACTGAGATGAAGTCATACATACCTTGAAATCAGAAAAGGAACTCTTTAATGAGCAACAAGCCACCACTGGCAATGACATCAGTTCCATTGCCCAGGCAGAGGTGTGCAATAGGATTCTGGCCAATGTCTCTAATTTCTGCATAACCTCAATTTTTTTTCATGCTTAAGAACACATTATGCTTGATGATAAAGGTAGGTTTTAGATTATTTCTCAGCTGTAACCAGACTTACTATCCTCGCAGAATGTCCATTTTAAACTTCTTCAGGATAGAACAGTGGTGTTTCTCCACAGCTACAGCTTTCATGAATTTCTTTTTGGCAAGTGGTGCCTGTAAAAAAAAGAAATTTTAAAAAATAGAGAATGTGAGGATAAATGCTTTTGATTCAAAGCTGTTTAAGCTTAACAAGAGACAAAGCAAAGATCAGCTCATTAGAATTTCCAGGGATTTACTTAAAAGGTCAGGAATTTGTGGAGAGGTGTGTGTGTGTGGTGTGGCATTGATCCAGTTAAACACAGACACACTTTGCTCAAGGGAATTCTTAATTAATAAAGCAGAAATTCCATACCACTAACAGGGACTCCAAATCACTGAACCAGAGATGGGAAAACTTTTTGAAAAACTTCCACTGCGTATTATACAAATATTTAAAGCTGCTGCTCTTCAACAGCACACGTACCGCAGCAATTTTGCCATGTTTCAGAACTATACTTTTCCCCAAACTCAGAGATTTCAACCATTTGAGTTCTGTTTTGAAACACATGCTGTGTTGGAACCTGAAAAGCTGAAGAAGGATTATTGGATGGCCTCCAGGTTTTCTAATGGCCCAAGGAGTTAGTTCATGAGGCCATAAACCAAAACTCATTTTAAAAGCACTTCTGGCTCAAGTATGTTGTCCTTCAGCTCTAATGTTTGTGATGGGCAAGGGCAAATATAATTTTGGGTGTAGGTCTGGGTGTTTTGCTTGATGCCTTCCTTGTCTTGCTGGCTCCCACTTCAGCCAGACAAAAGGGCAGCCACACCAACAACAGCTGCAACAAGGATAATGGCAGTGAGAGTTCTAGCAGTAGCCATATGTTCTGAGTTGCCAGCCATCAGTTTGCTAGCTGCTCAATAGAAAGTCCTAATCTTTGCTATTGCCAGATAGCTCAGTGGTTTAGGTCTCTGACTGCAGAGCCAGAAGTCGGGAGTTTGATTCCCCCACTGTGCCTCCAAAGAGAAAATCTAGCCTGTGTGACCTTGGGCAAGCTGCACAGTCCAGAAGTGCCCCAGAAGAAGGGATTGATAAATCCCTTCTGAGTACCTGAGGAACTCTGAAAAAAGCTTGCCATAAATAGTGATGGGCATGAACCACCAGTTCCATGGTTTAGGTTGGTTTGTCCTTCAGATGAACAGGTGTTGGGCCGTTCCCAGCCCTCTGGTGGGCACCCACTCAGAGCCAATGCCCCAGCTTCTCTGTCCCACCTCCTTTGGGCACTGCCTCTGAGTGGGCATCCCTGGAGGAGGCAGGGTCGGGAACTGCTGAACACCTGCTTATCCAAAGGATGAACTGGCACCAACTCTGAACCAGTGGTTCATGCCTGACTCTAGCCATAAGTCTGAATTGACCTGAACGCACGTGGTTATTATTGCTAGACAAAAGGAATGTGGGACATTTGAAAGGGAAATACTTGCACCGTAACACCAGGAGAACCACTCTCTGAGTGGAGAATTCTTGGTTAAATGTGTCAAATGACCTGACCTGATAGAAATCAACTTTGAATGATTCCAGCATAATGGTTTTATGTTAAGATACCCTTCCGGAACATCCAAGCAAGATGTAGAATGAAATACCTTTTCCATGAAGCAGGCGGCCTTGTCCTCTGCCTCGCAACAGGCTGTTAGTACTTTTTCATACTCGTCCTCTGCATGCAGAATTGTGACAATCTTTATGTATGGAGACCTTCTGGAAATCTCATAGAGGTAACTATGTAAAGAGAGATTGAGGAAGAAGAAAGAAAGAGCCACTCTGCATTAATCCAGGCAGCAATTTCTTACAGCAAAGAACCTGGTAGTCAATGTATTTGTAAAGACAACTGCTAACATCAAGGACAGGAAGATTAATTATTTATCTGGGTTTACTTAAAGCAGGGAGGTGGAAAATAGATTCAGGTTTGTACACCACTGGGCTGCTTAAATGTGCTGCCATTTATGCAAGAAACTGAACACAATCTGCATTTTTGACATTCCATATTGCTACATAATTCAGGTACTGAACTCAGACCACTTTATAACTAAAAGGGGCCCAATGGGAGGTAAGGGGATGGATAGCATGCTAAGAGGTACTAAAGGGTTCGCAGGGGAGGGAAGAGGACAATGGAAAAGTGATAGATGCAACTCTACTTATTCAATCTCCTCTATGCAAAACTAGGAAATAGGATCATGTATGATTTGGAAAAGAACAATGCAAAATGAGATGGGATGGAATGCAATGTCCTAGACAATGGCATGGCTGATAGCTTTGTTCTAAAAATACTAAAGGGTGAGGGGTATGCTAGAGGAATGACTAGCTCTGAAAATAAGCACTCCTGCTAGAAAGTGAGAATGCACTGCAATATTTGTTGCAGATCTCACTTAACACTTAGGAGCTGATATGAAACTGGAGTCAGAATTAGACTTTATAGGCATTTGATAGATTGCTTGCAATAGAAAGTCACATGATTTGTAGTAAGCATCAACGTAGTAGCATTACATCGATTTACTTACTGGTTTAAGACCTCCTTTTTGTTATCATGAAATTGTTTGCAGGCCTCCTCTGGCTCTGGTTTTTGGTAGGGTGGAACAAATCCTTTTGATGCATTTTTGTGGGTGAGAAAACATTCATGTCGTTCCGGGTCAGTTTGAGCACAGCAAGCACCAAAGCCGTGTTTGGCAGCAATAGCTTCTTCATGACAAATCTCATCAAGTAGAACAGTACTCTGATGAACAGATGCAAGATTTTGTTTTAAGGTATTAGATATACGCCCACCAGTTTACACTTATTGCAACTGTTTGTTGTCAAGAAAAAAACAAACTCCCAGTAACATCTCCAGCTACAACTCAAGTTCCATCAGCAGCAATAAGAGTTAGAAGTCAAATAGTGAAAGGTTTCTAAGGGGGCTGAATCAATATTACCATTTCAACTATAGCATTTGCTACAAAATAAATACATACCTCTTTCTTTTTGGGTCTATCTCACGTCTATTGCCTATACAGTATTTGTTTACTTTTACAATTAAAAAAAAGATAAAAGAAATCTGTCCCACATACTGGCAGCAGCCTTGGTATAAATCAGATTTCCAATTTCTGCCGGGGACTAGCAAGTGTCCCACATACTGGCAGCAGCCTTGGTATCAATTGGATTTCCGATTTCTGCTGGGGACTAAAAAAGGCACTGGAGGTATTCAAGAGAAAATCGGACCACCATTTGTCAGATCTGCTTTGATTTGGATCCCTGCATTGAACAGGGGGTTGGGTTTGATGGCCTGATAGGCCTCTTCCAACCCCATTATTATATGCTTCTAATGAACCTTACTAAGAAGTTAGACAGCTTGTGACAGGCACTATACTTTTCCCGAGGATATTGAGTTGGCACTAAAATTTTTAGTTGCTAGTGTAATTCAAAATAATTGATCCCTGAATCTTTAAATCAATTCTTTCCACATTCTGTGGTTATCAAAGGCTTTGATAGGATGAAGGGAATCCTTGGGGATCCCCAAAACCTTGGCAGAGAAGGTAGGAATTTGCAACAGATCTGAACTGCGGCTTTGCCAACTGGCATCCAATCAATGTAAAATTGATTAAAAGTATAGAGGAGTACAGTAATGAATATCCAAGAGGATGATTTTCTCTGGATCTTCCCTGATGTCCTGCTTTATTCTAGTGGAACCTAAAATAATACTCCTGATTAGTGGCTGCATCTCTTCCTAATTAGTATGTTAGTCTTTCAGATGGCCCAACAAGAAGGATCTTTCAGTCTGCAAAGACATGTCCCTTGTTCAGATGATTACATCTTCAGATACATTGGCCAAAATCCAATTGTAAATCAATACTAGAGTAGGTCCATTGATGGAGTTTCTGGAGGGATTGACTCATCAAATCCATACCAATTCAATTTGCAACTTGCTCTTGGATTTCAGCCATTGGTTTGTCTCCAAATTGTTTACCTTCTCTCTGGAGTTGATTGGATCCTTTTTATTTTGGCTGTTTTATTTGTTAACTGACACAAATACTCTACAATTTATCAGGATTTCATACTATATACAGAGTATCAATGTAACAATTTAAGCTTACCACAGACTTTGTGCATTCTGTATATACAGAGTATCAATGTAACAATTTAACTCCAAAAGCTTACCACAGACTTTGCGCATTCTGGATCTGAATGCTCATCAGCAGTGCATTTCTTTGCAAGTGCGTCCATATCCTCCACCACTTTATGCACCTCGTCATATGTGCTCTGCTGTAAAAACTGAGAAACCAGCACCACAGAACTGGAAAAAAAGAGTAGAAGAGAATAAAATACAGTGGTGCCTCGCAAGACGAATGTAATTCATTCCGTAAGTAGCACTGTCTTGCAAAAAAAAAATTTGTCTTGCAAAAAGCGGTTTCCCATAGGAATGCATTGAAAGCATTCCTATGGGAACCTTGCAAGACGAATAATTTTTTTTTCATCTTGTGAGGCATTGGTCTTGAAAAAAAATCATATTGCGAAGCATGGCCACAGTGATCGCAAAAACCATTCGTTTTGCAGGTTTTTCGTCTTGCGAGGCACCACTGTATAATGCAATGCTTGCTTTGTTTGTTTCTTTACCAACTCTTAACTGCAATGCACCATTCTGGATGGTTTGAAGATGGAAAAAAGACACAACAAAGACCGGTCAAACCAAAACAGCATAAAAGACGCTCAAAAACAAAGCTAAGAAGTGGCAATTATAAAAAATAAAATAAAATTCAGTGCAGGGCATACCAGTGGACAAAGCAGCAAAGAAAATAAGTCAGCAGGAAAAGGACTCTCTATAAAGCAAGTTTTTATCAAAAGTCTTTTGAATAATAAAAGGCACAGCTCTACTGGCAGTTGATTCCAAAGTGTTCATGCCACAGCAAAGAAGGCTCTACTTCTAGCTGATGATTTTCTGGTCCCCCATAAAGTGGAAACCTGGGGGTAGTGGAGTGTGTAAGAGGTCCTTGGGGTAAGACACTCCAACAGGTAGCATAGCCTGAAACCCTGATAGGCTTTACAGTTAATCACCAAAGCCTTAAGTTTGCCTATATGCCATAAAAATGCCTGAGGCAAAAGTGATCTAATGAAAGGTGGCAGAGATGTAGATGTGCGGAATGCTCCTTGAAGTTAGAATGTTAGATCTGAAAACTAACTGGTTGTTGTTAAATATTAGAAGTAGACTCCACAAGTCATCCCAGCTTGCATTTATTTGCTGGTTTGGTCCAAATGCAAACTTCAAAAACATTTCTCAAAGTACATTATCTGTGGGAGAGTGGAATCCCCCTTTTTTTCCTCCTAAATGCATGTGTTAACATACTCAACAGTGCTTGATCATATATAGGACATTGGAAATTTCCACTGCACCCACCCTGTTCATATGTCAACATGCATGTCAAGACTTGATTGCACATGTTTCTCTCCAATGTCTTTGTGAAAAGATTCTTCACAATCATTTTCAAGATCTGTAATTACCCACTAACAGTGGCCACTAAATCAGCCTTAACTACCATTGTCGAAACCAATACTATGCTCAGATCATTTGCATTTCTAGTACATTTCAGATCTCTCTAACACATGCATAAATTTTTTATCCTCTGAGGCTATGCCTTTACAGAACTAGCCTGCAGCCCATGAATATTATGCCATATAACACCTGATCTTAGAATAATAACCTTAGAACTGCAGACCTGGGAGAGGCCCTATGGATCATTGAGTCCAGCCCCTATCAGAGAGATACAGTGAGGAATCCAATTTCCAGCCTCTGACTCGTCAGCCAGATAGTTAAACCACTGAGCTATTCAGCATCTTAGTCTTTAAGTCACCATAAAACTCCTTTTTTTCTCTCCAGTAAAGGACACTGGAGAAAATATAGTGACTATATAAATGAGCACTTGACCTTCTTTATATAGTCATAAGCATTGCAGTCAGTTACTAATGAGTAACTTTAAAATGAATGGAGTAGAACCAAATTTAACGGATTGCTAGAACTGTCACAATCACATGGGTGCTGAACTGACCACTGAACCAATTAAATTTGCATAAAACTAGGTTTAAAAGAAGCAATAATTGAGGTGTATGTGTGTGTGTTTAATCCATCATTTTAGATATTATAAATAACTTTCTTTTAGAGATGTACCACAGTTTTTCAAAACCTGGTTAATCTATCTCAGTGGTTCTTAACCTTGGGTTACTCAGGTGTTTTTGAACTGCAACTCCCAGAAATCCCAGCCAGCACAGCTGGTGGTGAAGGCTTCTGGGAGTTGCAGTCCAAAAACACCTGAGTAACCCAAGGTTAAGAACCACTGATCTATCTGATCTGATAGCTAAACATTAAGCTTTGATGTTTACCCATGTGTCTTTGTTGTTGTTATGCGCTGTCAAACCAGAGCTAATTGGTAGGAATCCCAACAGGTTTTTCAAGGTAAGTGAAATTGTTTTACCAGTTCTATATCTAGACATCTGAACAGCATTGTGCTGCATATTGATTGGTGACCAATGCTGTTCTGTCAGTCAAGTTAGGTTATTATTCCTTTATAGTGGCTCAAAATTTTTATTCAGTGCTCTTTTTTATTTTGTGATGACCCCACAAGAAGAAGTTTTCAAAAAGAGATTCTGAATACACTTACATTTCATCAAAATGCTCCCCTGTTAATTCAAAGGCAGTTTTGATGGTGTCAGGAAGTTCTGTAAAGAAGACAGTGATCAAATCTTTAGTCAGTACTTCTCATAGTATTTAAATAGTCAGGAACTGTTCTTATGCATCTGTCTAGCTATCTGGCTATCTATCTGCCCTTTTCTCTCTCTAGAAGTTAGCTCCATTAAACTGAATGGGTTTCAGTCTGATATTATAGGACTGAAACCATAGTGAAGCCCAGAAAAGATGGCAACAGAGGATATAGAGTAAAGAAATTGCATATGTATGCTAATAAAGGGTTGGTAATTGAACTAACTTTACAAAAAATAGTAGGAAAAAAGTCAAAATACTGCCACAGGGATCACCTTGCAATTCCCTGTTCTGAGAATATGTATACAGTTGTCTGAAAAATAAGGTCTGTATACAGGAAGATGTTTCTGAAGAGTCACTGTGGGTATGGATGACCATATGTATTTTCTATCATGTTAACCAACTGGTCTGTAATTCATTGACTAAAAACTTAAAGTCTTATAAATTTGCTAGATTAAGGTTGGACAGTTACACATGACTATAGAAATGGCAAAAGAGATTGGTTAAAATTTTAACAGTTGTGACCAATCAAATCTTTTCTCTAAAAAGTTTTGCACTGTTTCACAATGATGAGGATAAAACACATATGGTGAGAGCACATTTGACTGATTTTTGGAGATCACATTGACTGGCACAAGGTAAATGCTGCTCCATAAATGCCCTGAGTCTTAAATTGAGTTACACGCTGAAATCTATCCAGTTGATTTCTAATACACTATAAAATGTAGCTAAATTCCCTGGTTGTGAAATAAGGCATTTACATTCTGTCAAAATACATTTTGCCTCAAAGAGGAACATAGCTCTGCATACACAGCTGTTACATTTCAGGCAAATTTGGCATAAAAACTAAGGACTGGCACAAAATACAACATTTTGCTGAGAAAAAAAATCCACTGTTACTTTTTTGGAGGCAAAGAAGTCTCCAATTTAAAACTTAAAAAACAGAGAGGATCTTGTCTTCTGTAGTGTAGACAAAAGTCTGAAATCTTACCTCTGCACCTATGAGAATGACATATGTGAGAACTTCCCTCCTTACCCCAGAACATTTCCCACAGCATGATTATTGTATTAAAGCAGAACATTACAATACACATATCTATATTTATCTCCTCCCACTCTTCCTTTGTGATGTTTAGCAAAGTTAGCCAGCTAGATTCAATGATATAAGAGCACACAATAATTCTGTGATATCTGGACATGTGCACGCTATAGTGAAACATGACAACTAGAACTAATTGCTATTTTGGAGGTCAGTCTCTCTAGAATAGACAATGCCTTTCTTACCTGCTTCCCTGGAAGCTCTGCTCAGGTACTTCGATTCTGTAAAACAGAGCAAGAAAAGGCACGAGATGAATGTTAACCACTTCATGGTTCCAAATTGTTAGGGGCTTGTGTGTGCAAGGCAGGATGAAGAAGGAGCAGACGGAATTTATATACTCTAGCCCAGACATGTTTGGTTAATAACCAGCCATCGTATGTCCGATGCATGGGCAGAACACAAATAATTACATTGATGAAACATTTGCCCCTTATGTTTGTTGAAGGGGCATCTTGTCAAAACATGAGTTGCCAAAGTCTTCAATCCCCCCCCCTCGAATCAAACAGACATTAGCCTTATCGCACTTTAAGCAAACGGTCTTCTTCGTTATCCTGTAACTCATAGACAAATCTCTCAATTCTCAATATTTTGTACAAAGGTGAACTGAATTTATGTAAGTGATCCAGTGATTCTTTGTTGAGTGAAAGACCCCAAGTTCAGGGGTAGAGATGTGTGACGTGAGTGTCCAAGGCTAATTATAAGCAAACATTTGATCTTTTGCAACAGGTCCTGAACATCTGGACTGGGATCAGATAACAAAATAGAATTGTGATATGTATCTTCCAGTAGATTATGTACCTCACAATATTTTCCCGATCTGGAATGTAATAATGTACTCTGCGTATAAGCACATATGATTATTATACTTCTTGTGCATGAGGAAGTGGGGAAATCTCAGGCACTCTTTGCCTGTGAATAAGACCCTAGCTTTTTCAGAACTAGCAATTCTGTAAAAAACATGTTTTCCAATTTTATTGTGAGCAGCTGGAGCTTGGATGTTTCACATGCAAGCCCACTCCTATATGCCCATTACATTCTCATCAAATGTGACCATGGCTGCTATAGCTACCTAGTGGTGAATGCACATCACTTATGCTGTTCTTCACCTTCATAATGGAACCTTAATGAAAAAGTACTGGTCCTTCAATCTAATTTGAAGGCCAGTTTAGGACTTTATTTCTTTGCATTGTTCATTTATAAAGAAATAAAGTCCTAAACTGGCCTTCAAATTAGATTTGAATAAAACCAGAGATCTGTTCAGGAAAATTGGAAATAATAGAGGAACATTTTGCACAAAGATGGACATGATAAAGGACAAAAATGGGAGGGACCTAACAGAAGCAGAAGACATCAAGAAGAGGTGGCAAGAATACACAGAGGAATTATATCAGAAAGATTTGGATATCCCGGACAACCCAGACAATGTAGTTGCTGACCTTGAGCCAGACATCCTGGAGAGTGAAGTCAAGTGGGCCTTAGAAAGCCTGGCTAACAACAAGGCCAGTGGAGGTGATGGCATTCCAGTTGAACTATTTAAAATCTTGAAAGATGATGCTGTTAAGGTGCTACATTCAATATGCCAGCAAGTTTGGAAAACCCAACAGTGGCCAGAGGATTGGAAAAGATCAGTCTACATCCCAATCCCAAAGAAAGGCAGTGCCAAAGAATGCTCCAACTACCGCACAATTGCACTCATTTCACA